GGTCTACTATCTATGACCTTGGGCACATTTAACATCTTTGGGCCTGTTTCCTTGCATATAAAATGAGGAGGCTGGAAGAGATGAAATTTAAAACTCTAACTATTATGGTCTATCTGCCTACTCTTTCCTCTTGGTACTTGTAACCCTCTCTATCTTTGTGGTCCTCCCCCTTACTTGCAGACTATTCCTTCTAGGTCCTCTTAACTCTATCCATCCACCAAATGTGAGGATTTACCCAAAGATATATTCAAGGCTCTTTTCCCTCCACCATTCTCTCCTTGTTCACTATATATAATCCATTTTCATGGCTTTGAGTTATTACTCATCCTGGCAATTCCTAAGTCTTTATCTCTAGTCTGGACCTCTTCCCTGAGTTGCAAACCTGCATTTAGCCAAGCTAGATGTTTCCACTGGATGTGGCACATTAACACCCCAAACTCACAATAGCCAAAACCAAACTCATTCCTACCCCCCCCACTTCCTAATTCTCATTAACTGAGCCAGTTTCACAGCCATCCATGCTCAAAACCTTGTAGCTGTCTTTGATTCATTGTTTTAGGATATTTTCTTTCACTAAGTCTTCACTGACTTTAGTTTTAGGGCTGATTCAAAAATCACACTTCCTATTTGATGAATGTCTTGTCTTAGTCAAAGCACTCATACCCTTAAGTAACCCATTATTGGTGCTCTGTAGCAAAACTTAATATCATCTTAGTAATTTTGCACAGATTCCTAGTCATTTATTAAGCATTTATTAGGTGCCAAGCACCGTGTTTGGTTTTGCAGAACTGATTTTTTCCCTTTTTCTTTTCTATTCTTTTGTTTCAAGGGATGGCTTCTGGGGAAGAATAGATTTGGAATCAAAAGTGATGTGAAAACAAATGATATAATCTTTTAATTCTAACAGGAATTGTTTCACATAAAAAGAACCACATTCTCAATAGTGGTCTCCAATGATGCTGATCACAACCACTACTTTCTTGCCCAATATAATCCTTGTCCACATGGTCACATAATCCTCACTAATGGATCTAACAGATTTCTAGTCAGTTCCCTATAATGGATTTATATAGTTAGGCATACTCTAGATTTAGTTCTTTATTTTTTTAATAGATGTTACATTGTTGGATGCTCCCATATATTTTTCTTTTCTTTTTTTTTTAAAGGCAATTGGGGTTAAGTGACTTGCCCAGGGTCACACAGCTAGTAAGTGTCAAGTGTTTGGTCTGAGGACAGATTTGAACTCAGGTCCCCTGACTTCAGGGCTGGTGCTCTATCCACTGCGCCACCTAGCTGCCCCTCCCATATATTTTTAACATACATTTATGCCTCTCGGTATAATCTCTGATAATTATTATGTTTATTAAAAAAAAGTTTTCATTTCTTATTCAGTCCTATCCTTAGAAATGCTTTACTACAGACAGGGCAAGGTGACAGCCTCCTTTTGCAGATGAAACTGGGAAACAAGTGGCAATTAAAGAGGGATTTAATTTACCCAAGATTACAAAGTTAATGTTAGAACCGTATTAAAACTTAGTTTTTTCTTTTAAATTTAGTTTTTTCAATGAACAAAAATTTATTCTTTCCCAACCAGTTCCCCATAAAAAAGAACTTAGTTTTCTTAACTCTTAGCAGAAACGAGACCATACAGCAGACATGTATCCCTTGACCCTGACAATAATACTCTAAATCTGTATAGCACTTTACCGTGTACAAAGAGCTTGCAAATACATTACCACATCTGATTCCCACAACAACCCTGTGAAGTAGTTATTACTTTATGTAATAGATGTGTCCCTGGAAAACTGTATGTAAACCAAATTTTGTGAAATGAGTAATTTTTATGCACACGAAGAACTCCCTATTTCATGGAACTTTGATGACACCATTTGTAAAGTAAAGAGGCCTTTTGTAAAACAGATAATTCTTCGTTTGTTTTATAAAATTTGGCAAACTTTAAAGTGCCATATTAATGTCAACGTTTATTATTAAGTCTAGATATGGGGGTTTTCTTAGAAGTAGGTCACACCTATAACTTAAAACTAGACTAATTCTGACTAACTGGAACTTGCCCACTACAGCAAAGTAATGATAAACTTTAATCACAATATACAGTTTTAAAGAAATACAGCCAGCCATTACTTTCAAACATGTTCAAATATGAAACTAACAGGCTTAGCAAGTAGGAGATCAGTCTATTTAATGAATACAATCTATATTAATGAATACAAAACGTATCTGAAAGCCAGCCTAGCCTAGTGCATAGAGGACTGTTCTCAATCAGGATGCCTGAGGTTCAGGTCCTGCCCCTGACACATACTGGCTGTGTGATTACAGTTAAGCCAAGGCACTACACCTCTCAATGGCACAAGTAAGACTTTAAGTCGCAAAATAACTGCTGATCTGAATTTGTAGAGGGAGTCTCTTTATCAGATGTTCCCAATAAATTAATGAAATCACAGGTCTGAACCAAAAGAAAAAAGTCTTAGTTATTATTACACCCACTGTATATTCTGTCAGACTTCACTGATGTGTTTGGTTTCACAGAACTGATTTTTTCCCTTTTTCTTTTTTATTCTTTTGTTTCAAGGGATGGCTCTCTGGGTAAGGAATTGGGGAAGAATATATTTGGAAACAAAAGTGATATCAAAACAAATGATATAATCTTTTAATTCTAACAAGAATTTTTTCACATAAAAAGAACCACATTTTCAATAGTGATCTCCAATGATGCTGATCACAACCTCCACTTTCTTAGTCAATGTAATCCTTGTCCATACAGTCACATAATCCTCTTCAATGGAGCTAACCAATGTGCTGGAGACCTTCCTTTAGCTATTTTAGCATTCCATGAGTCCCAGTTCGATATGTGGATTGTCTATCTATTATTCCTCACTCTTGTGTATGACCAGTCCGCCTCCTTTTATGGTAAAACATGTTCTTGATAATCTTTTTATGCCACCTCTTTTACTCGAATCATTATTGGAAACATGACCTATGCTGTTCAGAGATCAGCAGTCACATATACAAACACTAGAAGAATATTAACAAGATGGCCTTTTTGTGCGACAGTGTAATTTCCCAAACACAACCAAGCAAACTCTCTCCTCCTCACATACAAGTCTAGACACTGCTTGCTGGCTATCTGTAGTGGACAAGCTCTATGTACTGATGTATTTACCTTAATGGACTACCTATTCATAGAGGTTAAGTGACTTACTCAAGGTCACACAGAGGGTAAATGTCTGAGGCCATATTTGAACTCAGGTCTTCCCAATTCCAGGACCAGTACTCTGTGCACTATGGTGCCACCTAGCAGCCTTGAACACAGGCCTTACACATACAAAGCATTTAGTAAATTTTTGTTAAACTGAATACAGTCTTTTGCTATGTTAAATGTGGATTAGTCTGGCTATTTCTCATTAGCAGTAAATTCAATGCAATATGCACAATTTTACAAAGCTTACAAAGCAGAGGAGGAATGGGCTCGATGTCACTGCCTTTGCATTTTGAACATTTAAATGCAAGAATCAGAAGCAGCATCCATTACCTTGGCATGTTGTCTCTTTTAACAGAGGAGGGGAAAATGGGTAAAGTACAAAGAAGACAGCGTCCAGGAGAAAGGGGGAAGAAGAGCAGAGGGCTCATCAAGGTCTCGGCGCTGCTGGTTTTGCGAAGTCAAAAAGCATCGCAATGAGAGCAGGCCTCCGAGGGATAACACAGGCTTTCCAACAAAGAGAGAAGATTTTGCTCGAATTTTTGCATGCAAGTCATCTCAAGCACTCTGGCTCATTATTAGGGCTTTGTGTCACTTCTGGCTATGCACCAGCTGCATCTGCCCTCATTTTTTGTGGGAAATTGTAAGTTATAATTTTGCTTGGGAAGCTAAAATTGTTCATTTTTCATTTTTTTTCCCCTCAATGATCCAATACGGGAGAAGGTTTTATTAACTTAAGAGGTACAATGACACACAATACTGTACCTTTTACTACTCATCATATTCTTAAGTGTGATTTAATTCAATGGTGGAGCCAATTTATTTTATGCAGCAATAGATTTCCAATTTTCTAAATCAAAACATGATTTTGTGGCTAAATTTTACTTTACCCACACACATACCTAATCAATATAGTTTACTTAGTACCAAATGTCATTTTAAGAATTCCATTGCCCTACAAATTAGCATTCACATATTTCTTAGAATACTCAATAGCTATTTAGTTTGAAAGGCACTCTATTCCTTCAAAGCACAGACATTATATATCTTGAATTTATTAATGTTTATTCATTCTGATTAAGCTGATTTTTACTCCTTACTTTCAGATTTTTTTTAAAGTAACCCTAAACTTTGCCACATTTCAAATCATCTATCATAAAAGAGCCAACCATAAAATGACTCCCTTTCAACAAGCACTGAATGAACCAAGTTTCAGTTGAATGCCTCAGTGCTGTTCCAGAAGTGATTTTCTAAACTTTCACTTTTCTTCCCATGACGAAATTTCTCAAAACATTTCAGCATAAAGATTATAATTACTTTGTGCTTTCCTGATAATACTAATGCCTTGATTAATGCTGCTCTTTTTCCCTTCATTCACTTATAACTTGTTTTTCACAGCCTGGAGGTTTAAAATGAAGCGGATTTCAAAATCAGAAGACCAAACACTTCAAATAGAAAACTAAAAACCAAGCCACTGTAAAAAAATGTTTCCAAATAACAAAGGATGTCCAGGGAAGAGAACAAGTTGTCTGTCCTGGCAAGCTTGCCTTTATGATTTTTTTAAAATTATGAATAACTTATCTATGCTATTACATCAGTGTGAATCAACCATCCTTCAATTTTATGTCGCACTATGCTGTGGACACTATAAATGAACCTTAAAGCAATTGGCAGATGAAACTTAAATAAAGGAGGTGGTAAAGGTAGAAAGAATGAAGACATTTTAGTCTAAACACAAGTCATTTTTCAAGTGCAGTAAAGCAGTCATGTTCAAAACACTTACCATTATTACTGCTCTCAGAATTTTCTTCAGGCTGGCCTTCTGTAGAACAAGAAAAATGTGCTTTTGTGATCGTGGTGAACAACAAAAATTATTTTAAAACTATAATATGACAAACAATGGCTACTGAAAAAAAAAGAAGGCATTAACTTAAAAGGGGATAAAACCTACATAGGTACACAACTTCAAAAGCCATCTTTCTAAAAGCTTCTATTTCTTCAGCCCTTAGCAGAACACAAAAAGAATAACTATGGGGAACAAAAAGTAGTGAGGCAAAGTACTGTGTGTGTGTGTGTGTGTGTGTGTCTTATTCCCTCTCTTCTTCCTCTTTCCTTCCTTCCTTCCCTCCCTCTTCCTCTATCCTTATCTCTTTCTTCCTCCCTCTTTTCCCTGCCCCCTTCTGTCTCTCTCTTCCCTAATTTTTATTAGGCTATTGTAGGAAACCAAATACTTTGTAATTAAAAAAAAAGGTTATAGTGCCCATAAAAGACATGATTTACAGAGAATAAAGTTTATACTGGACTGGGTTAATTCCAAGCTGGTTTCTTAAACTATAGTAGGAGATGAAGATTAGCAAAAACTGGGGGTGGGGGTGGGGGAGGAATGCCAGGAGAGACTGGGTACTCATGATTCACCCCTCATTGCTCAGCTTGGAATACTGTGAAAAATCAAAGAGTACATTTTGTAAAATTAATAACACAACAGTAATCAAGAGTGCCATATTTGAATGTAAAGAAGATCCTAGGATCACCTTCATGATAAGCTGAGGCACTATCATAAGACTTTAAATGCATATGTATTCACGATTTAAACAAAGGGTAGTTCTCTGTATTTTAACAAATTATTTTTATTGCACCTTCTTTTTCTTGGTAAAGGTTGATAGATGATATTAAAGGCTCTTGGTCTATTTGACAGAGAACTGAGCTTGCTTGGAAGTTGGGGTGAAACTGAGATTTCGTCTAAGCCCTTGCAATATGGTTTCAATGCGGATGATAAAGTGCTTAGTTCAGTTACATTGTCAACACTTACCTTTGGGAAGTGAAGGGACAGAATGTGACAGGGGAAAAGACCACTAATCAGTCATCACTTCCACTTCCCACCCACCCCAGTCGTGTCAAGTTCTGATGCTGTCAGGACACCAAAAGAGGGGAAATAAAAGCTAGCTATTATAAGACCTAATGAAATATCAATAGAGCCTCTTATGACTCCCTCAAAAAGAGAGTAATGTAATTCTGGTCCTTGAATTCAGCTTATTAAACCTTTTTTATTCTGCTGAGATACTAAAAGTTCCACTTTTACAAAGAGCGAATAAAATAATTCAGGGTTGTCCCTAAATAAAAGCCATCAGAGCATACAAGAGAAAGGTAAATTGCAAAGAACACTGGTTCCGGACTCAATTTGACTAATGGCTAGCCACTAGCTGCATCACTTCAGACAAATCCCTCACCCTCTCTGAGCCTTGGGTTCTTTATCCGTAAAACAGGCAAAAATTTTGCACTGCACACCTCATGGGATGGTTGTAAAGAAAATTATTCCTAAAGACTATAATATAAATATTTCATTTTTCTTAAATTGTGTAAAAGAGACATCAATTAAACTGTTCATTTTCTTTTCAAAATATGAAGTTCTATAGAAATAAAAAAGAGAAGAAATACTAAAATAAGCAAAACACTAGAGTTAGAGCTCAAATAGAATGCAAATGTCCAAACTCTGAACATCCTACTAAAAAGTAGACTAGATCCACACCATCTCTCACACTGTTCCCCTTTTTCTCACTCCTGAAACCCTGACTCTGGCTCAGGCCCTCACCCTCTCTTATCTGAACCAATGCAAAAGTCTCCTAAATGATCTCTCCCTCTATTCTCTTCCCTCTCTAATTCCTCTTCCACCTAGTCGCCAAGCAGATATTCCAAACCATATCTGAGCCACATTGTTATTCTCTCACCCTAATACAGCTTCAGTAGGCCTCTAGTGTCTATGGGATAAAATACAAATTCAAGCCTTAGCTGCCATTCAAAACTTGTCCCTAGACATGATGGAACAGGATATGATATGATATACCTGGGGGGGGGAGTGGCCCAAGGGTTCCCTCATGTCTGGAATGTCCTCCCTCCTCACAGAATCGTTGGTTTTCTTCAAAGCACAGCTCAGGTGACACCCCTTACTTGAATGAAGCCTGCCATGTTCTCTTCAGTTATTAGGAATCTCTCTCTCTTGAAATGACTTTGTATATAACTTGTATTTACTTACTTGTGCACATGCTGCATTCCCTCAGTAGAATGTAAACTCCTTGAGGGCAGTTATTATTTTGATATCGCCTTTGCATCCCCAGAGCCTAGCACAGTGCTGTGCACATAATAAACACTCTAAGTGTTTGCTGAATTAAACTGAATCATGTAGAATTTATAACTAGAAAAAGACTAAAGGGCAAAATATTACTAGTTAAATATTCAATAATAATAATTCAGGCTAATCATATACTTTAAGTCAAAGTCTATTCTATAAATTATTTTTAAAGAACATAAACTTTGGCTTATTTTCCTAAAAAGCTGAACTATTCAGGTGAAGGCATATTCTACTCAAAATTCCAAAGCATAGATTCGTAAACTTGGTTAATAGATTTGATAACTAAAATCCTAGAAAGACATCTACGACAGGCTACATAAATATATCTGTAAATGCCTTTTTTTACTTTCTGCAGTTACCAGGCAATAAAATTTTCACAGCAGAAAAATCACAGGCTAGACTCAAATGAATTCAGCATGGGATTCCAAATCTTATCTTAACAGTGTACCCTTATACTCCAATTTTTCTCCTGGACTACCGCATCTAGACTTATGTATGGAAAAATACAAACTACAGATACCCCTTCTGCAATATTTTCAGTTATGAAAAGGAGAAAAAAAATTCTACAGTTATTTCCCCCAGTTTGGGACTTGTTTTCTTGAGAGGTGAAAGGGTTTGTGGGCTGGCTGGTCAAAGAAGCAAACAGCCTGATGAATTCTGCCCTGAGAACTTGCCCGTAATCACAACATGATACGGCTCAGTTTGCTCTTCCCCAGATACACAAGATTATCATCACCTGCGGTGATTCAAGATGTTCACTGGTATGAACAGCAAAAGCCAAACCTTTCATTATTTCACATGTGTGCATACAGAGGCATTACAATATGCTGAGCATTTATGAAGGTGGGAGTTGGGGGATTAAAGGAGATAGCCACCAGAAGGAGGTGAATCAGGTCAAATGGGGAATTTCACTAAGCTGAAAAACTGGCAGGTGAATGATAGCTAGCAACTCTGGTTATTACCAACCCATGTTAACAATGAAGACTTATTTCCTTGTAAAATTAGTAACAATATTACTAAAGCTTCCAGTAAATAAAATGGTTAAAAGAAAATGTATGACTTGCTTATAGTAAAAAATGACAACCCACTGAAACAGACACAGAATAGAGTCTTGTCAGCAATGAAGTCAGTATAGTGTTAACAGGTTCAGAATTTCAGGAACACCTTTTTCATCAGCCATAGCCAAAGGAAAGGCATTCAAAGCATTAACAGCTTCTCTGGAAAGGCATAATGGATAGAGAGCTAGCCTTGAAGCAACAAAGACCTGGGTTCAAGTCCTGTCTCAGACACATACTGGCTGTGTAACCCTGGGTAAGTCACCTTTCAGTGCCCCAGGCAACATTCTGAGACCTTCAAATAGAGACAACTTGTCTCGCTACCTTTGGTAAAGAGAGTTTCCTCCTTCAGAGTTACATATAACACAGTCAACAAAAGCATTAAATTCTGATTTATGAGAATTTATACTGAAAATCAAAAATTACATTTTTCTCTGTATAGTATTAAAACTACTTATAAAACAGTAATAATTAAAAGATAAATTGGCTAAAATTTCAAATAACATAGCTGCATTGCAATTACTGAGGAAGCATGGCATAGTGGAGAGAGAACCAAAGCAGGAAAAGTTGGATTGTGTTCTCACTCATGACCTCTGCTGGGTGGGTGACTCTGCACAAGTCATGGAGCCATTCAGAACTCTAGGAAACCCTAAGATGCATCGCTATTGGCCAGCACTGACTGAGGTAGCTTCCTCATCTGGAAATTCCATGGACTAAGAATGTAACAGATCTAGTCCTTATCTCTTAGAGAACAAAGGTAATTAATATTTACAAGCAAAGATGGAGAGGAATAACAACTAAGTAGCAAACAGATGAGAGCTTAATTGTAAGAAGACAAGAGCTTAATGCTTCTCACTGAGACATGCCTCAACATAAATAACGTGCCAGAACTAAATACCACCCCCTCATTAAAAAGACATTTGCTTAAAATAACTAAGATTACTGTGAGAAACAGACATCCTTTTTCAATACATACCAATATTTTAAATGGAATGTTTTATTAGAGAATGATTAACACTGGAATATTATGGGTGATTGGACCTAGAATACTGAACTCTCAATCTTCAGAGAAACTACTGATAATTAATTTTGATTTTCAAAGAGTATTTCCATAGAAATAGAATTCAAACACAACTTACATCTACATATTTCTCAATAAATCTATAAATATACCAGTTTATGTATTAACACATAGACTATGTAGAAAGGTTTACTAAGCAACCATTAAAATAAAATTCTCATACATTTTGGCTTTAAAATGGCAGCTCTCTTTACACAGAGATTATGTTTTGCTGATATCTATGCAGTGACTAACAGAGTCTGATGGGAAATACTACTGAAGAGTTATTCTTATTATTTAAAACCAGAACAAAAAACATGTTTTATATATAGGGATTTAGCAAACTGTGCACTAAAATAAGAGGCCAAAAATGTAAAACTCAGCTTTGATTCTCACATGCATTTAATAACTCACATTCGTGTATTGATTTAAAGTTTACAAAGCACTTTATATACGTCTTCATTTAATCCTCATAACAACCCTGTGAGGGAGGTGCTCTTATCTCCATTTTAAAGATAAGGAAACAGAGGTTTGGAGACTGACCTACCCAGGGTCACAAAGTGTCTGAGGAAGTATGGCAC